AGGCATTTAATGGTCAAAATATTAGTAATAAATATTTGAATATATTCGAATATTAATATTAATAAACAAACAAACTTCGAATATGATTTTTGTCCAAAAGTCAAAGCCCTACGCACAACACACAGAAACAAGCACCTGGGTCTCTTAATTTTTGGCACCAGCTACCAAAAGGCTTGCTGTCTCCACCCCTTTCTTCTATCCACAGCCAGCGCCATTTATTTTTAAGTCCTTTTTCAGTTAGGACGTCTTCCCCTGGCTTCATGAATTTCCCCTCCATCTTTGGATTTCGGTGAAACAAACGCCGGCCTGGATGCTGCGTTCAAGACCACTCAGAGGTAACCGAGAGGTCATAGTGTACACGCTACAGGTTAAGTCGGAGGAGAAGAATGAAGTGTGGCATATTGTCACTATCCGCTGAACACTGAAAACCTATGCAGCAGCAATGCTTATTTTGGAAGAAGATGGATATACGTGTAATTTTCAAGTTTGACGCTGTTCAATTCATTTTCCACAATTCACAGCCTGTTTTTTCCTGAGTTGTCTGGAACGCAGCAACAACTGCTGCTGGCCCCCCGTGGTTACTGTTGCTATGTCTGTCACAACCTTCTGAGTACATCCATGGTCACAACAACCATAACTATGCATGCCATTGCGTGTGCATAGTTACGATTGCTAACGTAGGATTGGACAGTAGCGGTTTGAGGGAGGGGCTTGACAATACCCCGCATCAACAGGTTTCTTTTCAATGTTTACTTTTTTTTTTTTTTTTTATGAATCGCAGTCAAACACCACACGCCGGAGATCCGGCACGGTGCCGGACTACTTTAAGTCCTGTGTGGTTGCAGACTAGTGGTATAGACTTTTTGGAAAATTTAGACTGAAATCAGATTTTTTTATATTGGCCAAAAATATGCTGAAATATTAATATCGTACAATTATGAATCATAATCAACAGTACTACACCTCACACGGGGCACCATTTATCTTGTTGGGTTAGGGTACCTACATGATAAGAGCTATTAAAGAAGGTATACAGCGAAAATGAAAAAAGGAGGATGAGAAGACATGCATAAATTGTTCTGAGAAGATTTAACCTGCATTCTATCAAATATCTTGGTTACTAATTACGGCCAAGAAAATGTAATTCTGAAGATCCCTTTCAGGGTTGCACAAGGAAACTCAGAAACTAACTAGCCTAATTAACCAGTTCATCTTGTACTCATAGCAGTACCTTTTGCTCTTCAATCCAATTGATTGTTTCCTCTGATGTACCTCGACCTCTCAGGAAAGTCACAATTTCCGACAGTTTCTCAGCCATCATGGATCTGTGGAACAGTGGGACAGTTTAATTTCAGTGAACTCAGGAGTCACAGATGAGAAAAAATAGAAGGATAAGTAGGAAAGAACTATGAAAAATAAATATGCAGATATGTCATGTATAAGACTAATGAAAACTCCCTGTAAATGAATTACAAAGGTTTAATTTTAATATGAAAAATTAGTAGTAGTAGGGTATTTGGACATTATCTACATATTATTGCTAGCACGCAAAAATATTTGGAAACAGTGTCAAACCTAGGTAAAGATCACAGCAGTCTTATTAAAAGGTGAAACTAGGTACCAGCGGAAAATTTTGCTCGTTTATGTATTTTTAAAGATGTAGCAAAAAGAAAGTTACATAGGAAAGAAAAATTGTTTTTCATCTGACGTTCAGGATTAGCACAGGCTTTTGCAATTGCTGTGTTTGACTGAGTAAAACAATATGGAGCTGCTGTGTAAAGCAATATAATCTATACCATCCCAAAAATGTCCACACCTTGCATTGGTAACATTGTTGACTGTTAAGCTCTAACATTATCAGTACAGTATTTTTGACCAAACTATAAACTATGCAGTATGTTAACAAAATGGCACTTTCAGTAGGTTTATACTATACATATCTAACCTACTAAATACAGACCCATTTTGAATGATCTGGAAAATATTGCTAATAAAATGTACAGTATATCAAACCAGTATATTTCATTTGATGCATATAACTACCTATTCCTCCTATGCTCCTCTTCTTTTGGCACTTAGGAGCAGTTGCCATGTGGATCAAGGTGCATACTGTCATTAATTCAGTTTATCTCGATGAATAACAACGTAAAATATTGATTTTATTAAGTCTTTTGTCCTGTGAACATGCATCTTGCTTAGCTACCATTTGCCAACAAACATACTCAGCTAAAAAGTCTCAAAAACATGGAACTGGAGATAACGTTAGTTCCTGTCAGTCTTTGTTTACCTGGTCTGCTGTTTTCATCTGAATGGCTCCGGTGTTCCCTTGCCTGAGAGAGAGACAGAGACAGAGAAGGTGACTGCTAGCAGCCTAATTTGAGTGGGTCATGCTAAAAGACGGTACCGTTAACGTTAGCCTTAGTTTGAACAAAGTAACGTTATTGTCATGTAACGTGCAGGAATTGCAAGTCAAAATCCATATATAGGCCTACTGTGGGTCATGGACCGGATCATTTTTTCTCGTAATATTACGACTTTATTCTCGTATAATTACGACTTTATTCTGGCAATATTATGACCTTATTCTCGTAATATAATGTATCTTTTAGTATGGCCCTAATACTCCGTCGTTAGCTAAAGCATTTTGGATTTATTTTTGGTTTCAGTGGTAGCGTGGCCGAGCGGATCTAGAGGCGCTGGATTAAGGCTCCAGCTCTTCGGGGCGTGGGTTCGAATCCCACCGCTGCCATAATATTTACTTTTAACTGTAATTGACGCAGTAAGGTTGTTTAACTTTTGCTTTATTTTCGTGTTTCCAAAAACTACATCAACGACATACCGAGTTTGGAAGCTTTTAAAATAGATTATTGTGTCATGGAACGTGTAAGAATGCTTCCTTTAGCATGCCTACAGTCAGTATTTATTTAGGTCGATTTCAGCAACCCGGAAGTAGTAAGGCTCCTAGCCTTCAAATTAAAGCGAGAAAGACACACTTGGATCTACTGTGCACTTTCTAGTTTGTGGGGGCTTTTTAATGATATAAGGTGTGTGCGTGTATGTGTATGTGTGTGTTGACAAGATGCTCCACTTGGACCACAGGCCAGAAATGATGGAGCCTAATTATAGATTAATTGACAGTGTTTTATAGTGGATAATAGTTAATGGATGGTGCATTAATGCAATAATTATCATTAAGATCGAAATTCAAATTACACACAGCAGCACTGGGGAATATAGTGCAATAAAAAGAGTACAGTGTACATACAATCGTATCACAAATACGAATATTACAAAATATAATCTAAGTATGTTTAAAGCTAAACTGTACATGTGCAATTTAAGAAAAATAATACAAGTTTGGTTGAATTAAAAGCAGTCTTGGTCAGCGGGGGTTGGAGGTACAGGGTGCTGTGGCATTGTGGAGTCTGATGGCAGATGGTACAATGGCTCTCCAAACCCTGAGGCTCGGGCTGGACCAGTCTGTGGCTGAAAAGTGGTCCTGAGCTGCCTCAGCTCAGTGTAGAGAGGATGACAGGGGTTGTCCATGATGGCTTTCAGCTTCCTCTCATCCTCTTTTAAGTCACAGCCTCCACACTGTCCAGCTCCATTCCCACCACTGAGCATTACAATGTTTCTATTTTCAGCTACAGCTTTGTGGAATTTATATTATTATTTTGTTTATTTTGCCCTGTACACCAGTCGGTCCCAACCTGATAGACAAAACAAACAAAAAAATATAAAAAATATAAAAAATATACACAGTAGGTATATATCTCAGGATTCGGTTTACTTCTGTGAAGAACTGTAAATGTAACGTAATGTAAAAAAAAAAATAGAAAATACATAACTTTATACATAAGAATTGTATAAAAGGTTCCCTAAACAGGAAATAATCTGATCAAAATCCATTCAAATCACTCCTTTTATACATACTTTTTGCACTTACTGTTTTCTATTTTGGTTAATTGTACAGTTTGGAATATAATATGGAATATCCATTAAATATATGTCACTAAGTCTGCGTCATTAGTTTACTATGGAAGCCCATTTTCGCCAATATGATGGGGAAAAAAAGATTATGTAAAAAAATTATGCTGTCCTTATTTTGAGATACTAACGTTAAGTATTTTTGCTAAGTCAATGTTTTGAGAAAGTTTCTAATTTTAATGAGTTACGGAATCCTTTTTTCCGTCACATTGGCGAAAATAGGCTGGTTGGGAACCCCTGTTGTAAAATGTTTGCAAGTTAGCGGGACAACGCTTATTATTCTGAAAATATTGCACCGGAAGTCGCATTGATGTTTTCATTACGGCGGAGTTGTGAGGAAGGCACATGGTTTACACTAAGGTTAACGTTAAAATGATCAGGTGAATTAAGTTAACAGACACATCTCTCCGAACCCTTCCAAGTCGAGTCTGCTCGTTCAGCTCGGTCTGAAGTAACTGAGCACCGGTGAGTCGAGATGAAGCCGCCCCCTCGTACACGAACTAAACCGAATCGCATCCTGAAACATGAGTCGGTACCGCGGCGATCACGTAAACCGGCTTTTAAGTGGCAGCGAGTGGAACAGAGGAAGCTACTTAATGCTCTGAGAAGACTCGGCAGGACCGGAGGCACCCAGGACATTGACTATGCTTCCCTGAGGAAATATGTGTTTACTCGGTCCATTTCAGAGGTAATTGTTCCAGTAGTAACGTCAGTCTGTTGTCATAGATTTGGAGGGACATTACAGACGATTGGTAGTTTTCCTTAAGGGACTTCTCTGCTACGAGAACATTAGATAGACTGTATTGGTCCCACACTGGGGAAATTCACTTGCTTTAGGTTTTTTTAGATTATCTGTCTCATGTTATACTGTCAGGATATAGAGGAAGTTTCAGCAAATATGACAAAAAGTGACCTACTGAAGCTTTAACTGGCAAAATATAAAAGAATGCTTAAATTACCTTTATGATTTCTCAAAGATATCATCTTCACATCTTCTTTGCCCACCCTACAGTCCAAAACCCAGATGTGTTCCCAGTCCGGGACCAGATTGGCAATCAACCAATCGATTAATATGAATATGAATATGAAAATGCACATTTTGTTAGCACCTAGGTCAAACCCTGATTTAGGTAGCTTTATGTATTTATAAAGGTGTGTGGACGTTCCCTTTCTACTGTTAGGTCCAGTCTTTGGTGGAATCTCTGAAGAACAAAGTGATCTCATGTGCGAGCTTCGCACTGAGGCAGAAGAGATGTGAGGAGGAGAAGGTCAGAAAGCCCATCGAGGTGTGGACACACATTGCTTCTACTGTGGCTGGAGCCCATGAAGAAGCCATTTGCACCGCCTTCTCCCAGGTACTGCAATCCAGATACTGATAAGTCAGGGTGGGTTAGGTTGTTCTTATTATTGTGGTTACCTTATAGGAGTGGAAAACTTGGCATAACGCTTTTTGTTTCTTTTTATTTTTAAATTGTATTTTTACTGATAGTACAGGATATGTACATAGATACAACATTCACAAATCATTACTTTGTATGAATTATTGCCCACCCCCCCGAACACATAGGACACCCATCCAGAAAGTAGAAAGGATAATAATAGTAACAATAATAATAATAATAATAATAAAAATTAAAGCTGCAAG